TGGACCAATTTGGCCAATTTTTTTTTTAAATGTTCGTTGAAGTCCAAGGATGGTTCTTAAGGCGAGAAAAAAATCCAATAATTGCCGAGAAAACCCTAAAAACAGCCCTTTTCTTTTTCTCATACAAACGTTTTCTAACTAAAACGTAGAATCAATTTGAGTTCTATTGCTATTATATAAAGTTCATATTAAATTACAAGCACTCACTGTATATTCCTTCTAAACGATTATGCGGATTTCAATAAATCTTTCTGAAGTTTGTTAAGGAAATTTTCTAGGATGTATGTGATTATAAAGTACTGGGATGTATGTGCAATATTGTAGAAATAAATGGAAAAAAATTCAAAAAAACGACATGCCATTGTTTGCATTGAAAACAAATAAAAACTATCATCTGCCAAAAATTTCAATTTACTTATGAATAATATTAGAATATGTATAATAAATTTATGATTATGAATAAGAAAAATTAAACGTCTACATTATTATTGCCAAAAAGCAACTGAGATATGCCAGAAATTAAAATAATATAAATACAGTACATGTATGGCAGATTGAATGATACATATATGAACAGGATATGACAAATTAATTCTTTTAAAATATGAAATTAAGTATTAATCAGGGCCAGTCCCACATTTAAGGAGATGCTTGCGGAAAATACGAGCGCACGCCTTAGGGGGCGCCAACACAAGATTCGGATATTAAATTTTCAGTTTAGTTTTTTTTTCAATATATAATTTCTTTGCATCTTTTACTAATCTTTCCACAATATTTTTAAAAATCGTAAAATTTTCACTTTATAACAAATGGGAAAGTAAAAATGAATACATACAATTCGGCCTTCACGATATCGATTAGGGGAAGTTGAAGATGCAATTTTGGATATCTTAAATAATATAAAATTAAATTAATTTAATCCAACATGAAGTACCAGTATAATGTTATGGTTATGGTTATGTTATACCGTTTAGAAGACTTCAATTCCCAATATAGTGTGTTAATTGAGACTCATCATTTTATTTAAAGCAGTTCTACATTTAACATCGCTCATACTATAAATGAATATGCATTTTGGCGTAAAGAGTAATTTAAAAAACAATAATTATTATTTTTATGTAAACGTTTAAGGTGAATATTAGTATATTATATTAAAAAATTGTAATCATTGGTACAGGATAACGTCTGTCGCGTCTTCAGTTCAGTAACCAATTGGATTCAATCGCAACCTTCTAATTTAAAATTGTCATTTACCCAATATGATGGGTCCACGCAAAAGAGATTTAGACATGGATATCAGGGTATCTGATATTTATTTAACGTCCTGTTCCGAAAAATGACCATGACCGAGCCTGATTCGTTGGCTGGCGCCTCTCACGCTTGCCGTGACCGCGTCGAATGCTCAGCCGCCGTCTGATGGACCGTGCAGACTCGCGGTTGCCGGCCAACGTTAAATATAAAGATCTCTACGACCAAATATATATAAAGATCGTCTTCAAACGACCTGCTATGTCCGGCGATTAAGCAAAACTGCATAAATCGGTATTCTGATACGAACGGGATATATGTGCGGAGTAATAAAATTTTGATGTCACAAGACCTTAGTTTCTAGCATTGATGGGATTATAAAATCGTTTATTGGAGTAGCACGAAAATCATTCTCGATCGCCGGTTTTATCACCATAACTCTATTTCCACCAAATCCTGTGAAATTTTTTACACATGTTCTCAACGTAGAGAACCAATTCTCAAGTTAATTCATATTTTGTATTTATTTTCTTATATCATAATTTTTTTCAAACACTTCTTAGCTCAATCATTTGCAATTATGTGTATTTAACCCAGTTAAACTTTTTCTGGAGCAAATGACTCTAAATGTTCTTCATTTTTTATCTGCTTTATCGCAAATTATATTTGCAAAACCATATTGAAAGAGTAAATAACTTGAGCAGAATCTCTCATATCATATAGGTCATTTATTGTACATACTTTAATAGGAATACTCGTACTATATTTTCATTACATAAATGACATTCTTACCATAATTTGCCAATTCGATTTAGAAATCATATTTACAAAAATTAGGATTCGCAATGACATCGATATATAATGAAGGTATTAAATAATAAAATTGTATTAATTCACTATAAATTTATAGATGGTGATAAGCATAGTAACTTATGTTAGCACATTTTGAAAAAAATAGGCCAAACTGTTATTTATAGTGATATAAATCCTATGATATAAAGTTACATTAATGTCATTTAGAATAATTTAGATAGTTTCATTTGAACATTGAACGATTTTTATTTAAGGGTGTATTCTGGTCTAGATTTTTTTTAATCGATTTTATTTGATATTTCCAAAGATTAATTATTCCAGAAAAAGTATATAAAAGAAGTTTTTCAAATATAAATTATTTTTGGAGATATAGCTCTTTGTTCACAATAACCCCTCCCTATATTTCCTTCCTCTGATAAACTTTAAACGCGTTTTTCTCTAAACTGTTTTTTTTTTAATAAAATACGCACAATTTCTCAACTTCCACTAGATCTATTTACTAAAAATTATTCCAGTATCTTCCATATAAACTTTTTATTCAATATGGCCTATATATGCTTATCCCTAAATTCCGATCATCAGTATTTTTTTAAAAAAATCGGGAATTTAAAAAAAATGGTAACAATATTTTTATTTTGGAATAGTTGCTATTTTTTAAAAACAAATATAACTTGCCCGTAATTCATACAATTGCGACATCATTATAAAACAATACTTTAAACATTTTTTTAGATTGTTTGGAAGGCTAAAATCATGGGTTTAATCATGTGCCCATTTTTTTGAGGCTCCCCCCTACTTAAAACTTATGACTAATCCTATTTCTATGTTTTTTATATTTTCAAAAGAATCAATAACATGTAAACAAAAAAGTAAAAATATTGTTTACTCTTTTTACTCCTTTCAAAAATCGCACAAAATTCACGCCCAGAATATCCCTTTAAACAATGTAGGTGGGCTCGCCCGTAGGTAAGTGGTTAAGAGCGACGGGACTTGTTTCAGAGGTCCCGGGTTCGATACCCACTTCGAGCAGCCTGTTTTCAGGCAGCAGTGACAACGATTTTCACTTGGAAATATAGATAGCAATGTGTTTCCAAGTGAAAATAGCCTTTGCCCGGCATTGCTGCACCAATAAAAAGTCAGCCCTATTAGATTAATTCTAATAACAAAAATCATCAAATATGGATGGATTAACCATTGGGTTACCATCTAAAAATACGAAGTAAGAAGAAGTTTCAGCCCAACAGCTCATTGGACGTATGCTTCTGATTGCTGTTAAAAATATATAAAAAAACAACGTAGGTTTTCATTTAAAAATTTACAAGTGCTGAAAACACTCGTATAAACTTGCAAAGTTCTCTGTAAAAAATAGTAAAAATATTGTTTACCTTTCTTACTCCTTTCAAAAAACGCCTAAAATTCATATCTCTACCCCTTTAAACAACGTGGGTTTTTATTTCAAAATTTTGCAAGTGCTGAAAACACTCGTATAAACTCGCAGAGTTCTCTGTTAAAAATTCCTTCTCTATTTTCTTTTATTCCTCTAAATATATTCTCTCATGACACGTGTACGTATGTGCATCTCTATTCGATCCTACGGGGACACGTGCGAGGCGTGGCGCTGCTCAGACGCGGCGGATGGAAAGTCGCGAGCACGCCCATAGGCATCGGGAAATAAGTCTGGCGGCCGTGGAACAAATGCAGAAAGAACTAAAAGAACTTTACAAAGAACTTACGAAGAACACCTGATGAAGTCGACGTGAAGCTGCGCCAAGAGCGACGATGCAGCGCTGAGCTGGTTAGAATTTTACTGGGAGACGTTTGATCGATAGGGATGGTGGTTTGAAGATTGTGGTTCTCAATATAAAGTTTGATGAATTATAATAGATATTAGAAATAAAGAGAAAGAACTCTACTAGAAATTCATTTTATTGATCAAAGGGTTGGATACTAAAAGTATATTAACTAGTGGTGCATGGTGTTGTGCCTAAAGGCAAATTGCTTGAAATTTTGGAAAAAATCGACATTTTGAATTTTTTTGAAACTTTTTTCAAATATTGAAAATTTGAATTTTAATTTTTTTTAATTTTGAAACCATCGGACATGCCTTTCCAATATATCAGTCAAATCTTCTTTATACAAGTAAAATGCTTTCTGGATCATTCGTATTGGGAACTTAATGGAAACTTATTAAAAAATTAATGGTGCATTATATTGTGCCTGAAAGCAAATCGCTTAAAATTTTAGAAAAAAATCGACTTTTTGAATTTTTTTCAACTTTTTTCAAATGTTGAATATTTGAATTTCAAAATTTTTCAAAATCTTGAAACCGTTGGACTTGCCTTTCCAAAATATTAGTCGCATCTTCATTTCGTTTATACTGTAAAATGTTTTCTGAATCTGAATTTTGGAACTTTTTGCCTCGTTTATTCATAACTAACGCACTTGCCTTTTCGGAAAACTAAATGTTTGTGGCACATAGAATGTTTTTTAAATAATTTGAAATTGATTTATCCATACTCTCGGAATCGTCGACAAAAAATTGTATCCGCACATATACACACAAACGCACACATACATTATCAACACATCAATTTTTTCTAGGATATGCAAAAATTTTAATTTTTGTTTTTTTTGCGATTACTATATCTTACTCTATGGGATTAACTTCCTACATCTTGATGTTAATTTTTATTATTATTAACCAAATATTCTGCGTATATATGATTCTAACTAGAATATTGATTGATTCTGATAGGATATTGGCATCTACAGATATTTAAATTTACACTTAAAATAACAATCATATTCTACTGTCCAATTTGGTTTTGGATGCACTCATTTTGGAGAGATTTTATTTGCTTTAAAAAATTTGATTTGAGTCTACGTTTTTAATAAATATTAGCATACTAATAGCACTAAACTTATGAATTAACAATTACCTGGGAAGAGCGATTGCAAGTAAATCAGCCAGTTAACCCCTATTGCGTCCTGAAATATAAATATAAAAGATTAAAAAATAAGTATTGTATTTCACATAATACATAATTAATTTAATCACTAATTTAATATTGATAGGTTTTGCTTAAGGCAAATCAATTTAAATACTAAATTTGAAATAACTGCAAGATTGAAAAAGAATTTAATCAAGAAGTCAATTTTTCAAATCTGTGTCAATGACCAGATTTTGTATTCTTCAAGTCATTTTTTTATTTCTATAGTGTTATTTGTTGTCCATTTTAAGAGTGGTGTAAAAATAAGTACTATATGAAAAAAATAAATAAATGGTGTTTATTGTGCAAAGAAATAGATTGCAGACGTATCGCTACTCATTGTACCAACCGCGTAACCGCTTTAAATTGTTCAAATCAGTTTCAATAGCAATAAATGATAAAAGCTATTAACGTCCAACAAAATGAATAACGAGTTTACTAAGTTCCAAATAAGTAGACTTGAATAGTTGTTCCATTCCCAGCCCAAGTTCTGTCCACACATCGCGTGGCTGGGAGTGCGCGCCGGTTCATCTATAGGCGGAGCGAGCGCTCTCCGGGAAATTTGTTCGGAGGGTGAGCGAAATAAAATGCTCGATGAAAAAAGAAAACATTGCAACATGAAGAGTAGAAGAAGAAAAGAGGGATCAATTCACACATTCGGTTCCACTCGTGTAGTGGGGGCAACATATGTATTCTAAGCGCACGCGGTCCTATCGGTCATATGAGAACGGTCTTAGTGTCAAATCGACGGCCGACGAGCGCGCATGTGTGTGATAAAAGTGTCTGTGATAACGTGCATATCATCATCCTAAAACGCGTGATGTGCTCGTGAGCGATTATTACAATCATCGAATTAATTTATGTATAAAAAAACTGTGTAAACAATTTTATTTCGATTGACGTTGTCGCCAAAAATGTCGAGTACTTGCTACTACTGTTGTCAATACTAGTGATCTAAAGATAGTCGATTAGTTAGTTCTGAGTTCTATAAAGATATTGAGTGAGAATGATGCTGTTCAGAAGCGAATCCCTAACACCGCCGTCCTCAAGTCCTGACATTCAGGCTGACATCAGAGTTCCGCCGATACAGTTGGATCACTTGCCGGACGTTTTCTTATGTAAGATCATTTGAATAGTACAGTGAATTATAAACAGATATATCACTATTGTTTATGTCTTATTTATCAAAAAACTTCTTTTTAATTTCACTTTTGTTTTAATTTTATCTTGATACAGTGCAATAAATTAAGTGCTCTCCTCACGTTCATACCGTTCAGTCAATTACTTTATATATCATACATATTTCATAATTAAACTATCACTGTTTATTAACCAATTTTATATTTGAGATGTACATTTAAAATCAATGATACAGCCTTATTTATTATATATAATAAAATAAAATTGTTGTTGGTAAAAAAATATCAAATTTTGCAATAATTGCCATATAAATGAAGGAAGCACGTAAAAGCTCATGTCTCTTTAATTTATCATTATAAAGTTATTAAAATAGATACCTCAAATTAATTTGTGAACCAAATATTCTTTGTATGTATGATTCTAATTGGAATATTGATTCCAATTAGTTGATATAAAAATATAATTTTTTGCAATAATTACCATATAAATAAAGTAAGCACGTAAAAGCTCATGTCACCTCAATTTATCATTATGAAGTCATTATAATCGATACCTTAAATTAATTTGTGAACCAAATATTCTTAGTATGTATGATTCTAATTGGAATATCGATTAATTCTAATAGAATCAATTTTGTCCTTGCTTTGGCTCATTAATAATAAAAAATACTTAAAAGCTCATTTAAAGCAAAAGCAAAGCTATCCTTAGTTTCTGATTATAAAGTCAATATAATGGATAATTTGTGAAGCAAATATCCTGCTTATATGTGATTCTAATTAGAATATAGATTGATGTTAGGAAAATCAATTTTGTTCAAATTGACTTGAATTTTTCTAACAATAAATACTAAATATAAATTAAATACCTTATTGTTATCAAAAAAATAAACAGCGTCTTGAAAAATAATACCCTATAGTAAGATTAAGTTTAAGTTTAAGTTTTCCGGGAATAATTAAAAATTAGAATCCATAATCATATATAAATATATCTATATTTTAAAATAGATATTAATAAACATATCTAATTAATATCTGCGAATCAATTGATCATGGAATTCGGACAAGCCTCTTGAGTTCGAATCATATGATCAAAATTTATGTTTTGATAAAAATTGATATTTTTTAATCTTAAGTAGTTTTGAATCTACATTCGTAATCTACATAAATCTATACATATTTTACTAAAGTGTAGTATATTAACAGTTAGTAAAAAATTTGCTAAAAATATATATTGTCAATGAAACCTTTTTTAATTGCATTATAAAATATTCATTATATTAAATTACTACAGTAATATGCATTGTATTATATAATAAATATAATTTTTAACTTCCCGTAGGGTAAGTTATAGTAATCGCAAAAAAATCGAAAATGAAAATTTTCATATATCTTTACGTTTCAAAGGTTTCTGAACATTTTGGCATACCTTAGAAAAAATGGATGTATGTGTGTGTGTGTGTGTGTGTGTATGTGTGTGTGTATGTGTGTGTGTATGTGTGTGTGTATGTATGTACGTGTGTGTATGTATGTGCGGATACAAATTTTCGTCGACGATTTCAGGAACACGGATCAACCGATTTGAATAATTCAAAAAACATTCGATTCGTATTGATAAGGAGACGTGCTGATTAGTTTTTGGCGAAGGCAGGTCTAGCCGTTCCGAAGATACGGGGCAAAAAGTGCCGAAAACGGTAACTCAGTTTTTAAGAGAACGGATCGCCCGATTTGAATAATTCAAAAAACATTTCACTTGTATTGACAAGATGAAAAATCGATGAAATTTTCATGAAGGTAGGTCTAGCGGTTTCGGAGATATGGAGGAAAAAGTTAAAAAATGAGCCATTTGGCGGTCAAAAAGGATCATTAGACATATGCACATCAAATTATCAGATATTTTATAGAGATTTTAACAATAAGTATACATTTTGTCAACATTCCTATGGGTTCCGTACCAATGCTTATGCGTTAGACAGCGACGCGGCGCTTACGCGCTTTATATTTTGTGCCTATGCAGTTAAAGCAGTACGATTGCTTTGAAAAAAAGTTCAGATCTTCCACAATATGTCAAAATAAATAATTTTTTTTTTTTCAAAAAAAAAAATTAAAAATTTTTTTTTTTTTAAAAAAATTTTTTTTTTCAAAAAAAAGTTATTTTTTGTCCAATTTATAGTTTCCCAAAAATCTTATTTTTTCAAAGTAATTTTTTTTTCAAAAATGTTAATCGTTTTTAAAAAAATTATAATTTTTGGTACAGGAAGTTCCAGCAATTTGCCTTAAGGCACGATGCCTTAATTGCCTTAAGACAGAATTCCACTTACAGCTAGTTTGCTATTGCATTACTAAAATTAGTAGACAACTATATAAGTAGAAATGAAAATTTTAATGTCTGTATATTCAATTTTCAAAGATCTCGACCCAAACAGCACAAATTTTCATTACATTTTCATCTATCAACCAATTCATCCAAAAGCTCAAAATTAAAGACATTAAAATAAATTATGATGTAATAGTGTACTGATAATAAGAAAGATTGTCAAAGCATATATTATAAAAAGCATAAAAGTTTAGAATTTAAATATATTATTTCCTGGATGTCCTTTTTACAAAATAAATCATGAGCACTGGCAAAGTCTGAAATATCTCTATGAAACTTGCAAAAATCTATTAACCCATAATCATTTCAATACAGTAAATTGACGATGATATACTTACTGCCATACTAAATACTAATTTAATACTAGATATTAAATGATACTTATTTCGTACGTTTTAGTACTAAATGGGTGTCCTCATTCAGCAATTCTTAACATTAAACATGTAAAATATATAAAAACTAATTATTTTGCTTAACAAATAGATGCACCATTTAATTACAAATATATTTCAAATATCAATGTTAAAATTGGTCAGTTATTTTGCTTGGTTTCTAAATGATTCAGTTCAGACAGAATAATTTAGCAGAAGCTTTTCTTATCGCGACCTTCATTTACTACTCTTTGGTCTAGACCGCTACGAAATATTACGTAAATAAGATACTAATCTAATATTAAACATATTTTCTGTTGGTTTTGCTGTTCCTTATCGTTTAGTTAAGATATCACAACGACATCGTGGATAAAAGTCGCGAAAAGTCATTCTCAGGGTACATTGTTTGGGATCATAAATATTAATATTTGGAACAAAATGCAGACATCATGATGAAAGCACTTTTTGTTGTTATGCTTTGATTTATTGGGCAATTGCAAATATAATTTTATGATCTCATCGCTCATAAAAATCAGAAAATCTGGCACTTTGAGTCTAAAATCATAAGAATTATATTTAAAATATTTTCTGGTGTAATTTAGTACATTGATTATTTTGTCAGGATTTTGTTGATTATTATATAGAACAAATTAAAGCTTATTTACTGGTATAAAATATTTTTTTATCCAAATGTGCAATAGTTGACTTTAGAAATATATTATTAAAGCCAGGGTAATAAGTAACGAAATTTTTATTTGAAATTTCGTTTAAATTTTGTTTGTTACAAAAAATCGATCTTCTACGAAACCACCGTATATCCGATTCCTATCTTCTCAAAAATACTTATAAACTTAATTAGAACTCTTGAAAGCCTTTCACGCACAGTTCACATGTTTATATAGAATCTTGCAAATGGCATCAGGTTCTTGAATTCAAGTACATTTTTAGATGATAGTATCACGCCTTGATAACGTGAAAGGGAACTGATCTTATGAATCTTGTTTGTTTTACGTCAATTACATGTTTAACACTTGTTCTAACACCGACTAATCCCTTGATATCAAAAATCCACAGGTAAAAAAATCTTTAGAAACGAGGCCTTTTAAATAAAAAAAATATTGCGTGTGTAATGAACATTCATATTCACACCTGTTACGATAAGTTCTCAATCAGCTTTTCTGTTCTGTTCCATGTTAGAAATATACATGTAAACAATTGAGATGGCATTTGAAAACAATAAATTCTTAGGTGTGCAAATGACGCAATATTTTGCTCGCATTAAAAGCACTAGCAAATTGCGTTTATTTTATTTGATACAAACTAAGAAATAATTTGTTACAAAATATGAAATTAGTTTTTTCCTTAATTTGAAGCTTAGACAATCACAAATGCCAGAGCAAAAATGAAAATGCATTACTGGTGGTTGGGGTCACCAAATGTTAAAAATAGTTGTATATGAGACGGAAAAAGTATTCATAGGTTATTTGAATAATTCCAAGTACTTATATACAATAAAATAGTTTACGACTATTTTTTAAATATTTAAATTATCTTAGTGTATATTCAGAATAAATTAAATGATTTTCTATTAAATAACACGAGCTGTAAAAAATTAATACACTACTCTCCATTGAAAATTGTAAGTACCTACTTCAGATTTTTCACTGTCTACAATGAAATAAAATTGCTATACAACATTACAGATTATATCTCGAGCTCTTTAGATTTTCTACATAGTATTATTACACACTAACTAAATTTTCGCATATGTTCGATAAAGCTCGCTCGTAATTATTATCTATTAAATTTTAGTATATAAGAAATCGTAAAGAGATATCGCAGTTAGTAGTGAATATTATCCAAAATATAAACATCATTTTTAGTGTTTGAATTTGCAAAAATGCAAATGGGTAATTTATTTTTAATTTAGTTTAATTAAAATTCACCAAGTAAGTTTCAATTTTATATGACCAATAAGATTGGATATAAGTTAAATTATATACTAATCTTATATTATTTATATATATTTATTATTTAATGCTCATGTTTTTAGATGTGGAAAATGAACAATCATGAATTAGGTGCTTTAAAAATTGATACATTTTTATATAAATGATTTTACAACATATACATTATATTTTATTATACATTTTTTTATTAATTTTAAAATATAAAAAAATTGAATTTTTGTATTCAATATTACATTATAATGCTATTTTCATATCCTTTATATTATATGATTATTATGCTATTCCTATTTATTTTGAACTTCTTCATTATGGTAAGTAAAGAAGGAGCCTTCTTTTTTGTCAAAAATGGAAGCATGTGTGTTTATTATGTATGCATATTTATATATTTGGATACAACATCTCTGCAACGTTTATATATGAATATATACATATATATAATATATATATATATATATATATATAAAAATATATATAAATATATAAATTATTTTGAATTACAAAACACAGAAATTATTATTACAATTTTTTTTTTTGCTCATATTTTTATCAATGATCTAACAAAGTCGATTATATTTTTCAGCGAGTATTCCGAAATGCGGGGGCTGCCATGAATTAATATTGGACAGATTCATATTAAAAGTATTAGAAAGAACTTGGCATGCAAAGTGTTTGCAATGCAGCGAATGTGGTGCCCAACTCGCAGACAAATGCTTTGCGAGGAACGGGCAACTCTACTGCAAGGAAGATTTCTTTAAGTAAGTATCACTGCTAAATTATTAAAATAAATGAATTATTAATAACGTCCTTTTGATGTTATTAAAGCAATTGTTAGGATTAACGTAGGTGAAAAATATCATTAACTTTTTTCGGATTTTATCTCTGAAGTTGGACCTTCGACTGTAGATAGTAGCTAAGTTGAAAGCGAGAGAGCTTTTACTCTTTACATTCGACTGTAGCTAGTAACTAAGTTAAAGGCGAGTGAGCTTTTATTTCTGATTCAACGGATTCAGTATTTTATCAAAAATAAACTAGCTAACAGGGCTATTAATCATGTGAGGCTTAAAGGTGAAGGGTTTAACCAAATCATAAAATATCAAGTATGGGAGGGGGGCTTAGTAAGATATCACAAGTATATATTTTTTACATGAATTTCATAAAAAACCCAGATTTTCTCTGAAAAGTCCAAAAGTTTAATGTTTTTGTAGGTTGAGCAAAAAAGTAGGACGTTAATTTAAAATATCACCAATTATTACCAAGGGGGTGGGAGGGGTCCTAATAGTCTCACTCTATAGTATAACATAGATTCAACATAATATCGTTGCTGTTTAGTTTTTGTCAGTTTCACAAACTTATGTAATCCTTAACTTCAATGACATAACAACAGCTGTAATGTAATAAACTCGTACATTCATGATCCGTTTGCCGTTTGCCGTGTTTTAGAGAGAAATCCGTAAAAGAGCACAATCTCACGCGCTACTTGATAAATATATATATATATATATATATATATATATATATATATATATATATATATATATATGTAGTTTCTGTGTGGCGGCGCTTGATAAGAATTCACGATAATAAACAACAGACAAGGAGCATCGCTTTGATAACAGACAAGTGTGTGCGGGGTCACAGAACTACATCGGACGGGCATCTTCTAGTTTATCATCGATACGATACGACGATGATGGAACGATCGTTTTCGAATTTAAAAATAGCGAGTTTGTATCTCTGATAATATTATATCCGTGTTTATCACGAGATTTTGCATTTGAAAATCGTACGGTTTTTCCGACAAGTATTTTAATTGCGATTGGAGATTCAGATTGGAAAGGAAAAGCCAATGATTCATTACATTTTGGTTTTTACACCCTTGATTCTGAACTTTTTTAATAGTTCAATCATTGTTAATATAACTAGCCCAAATGGGTTCATTCCTTCCAACCCTAAACTATCCGAAACTGACGAAGACTGGTCATGCGCATTCTGGTTCTGATCAATTTGATGGCATTTCCTAATGATTGTATTGCAATTTATTTTACATTAGTACCAGAAAGTAGCATATTTAAATTTTTTATTACAATAACTACATCTGTGAAGAAATAATGTATTTATCTGAATAATTTCTGCTGTGATAAATCTTCTTTTTGGCAAAGTTCTAAAAATTAATAGAACAAACCGTCAATATTTTCACTAAAATATGAAGGCATTAGCTAATTTTAACAATCCCTACAGTAAATATTGACAAAACTCGTGAAATACTTTAAAAACTATTCTGATCTGCTACAGAATATAATTAAATTATTAAATCAATAATGAAAATACTGCAATTTTGCCATACACTCTTTGAATATACCTGACATAATTAATAAAGCTCTAAAATTTATATTTCATCAAAAATTTTGAATTCATATTTATATTTTTATTTATACTAATGATACCCAACCCAAAAAGCCCTAAAATTTATATTTTTTGCGCCAATCATATATTTTTTTATTTTGCTTCATATCAACATGTTTTCAAAATTCAATTATTAATCATAATATACAGAGCTTTAGATACTATAAGTACTTAAATCTTTAGTGAAATTGTAACCATTTTTCGGTTATTATGGTTAGTTTTCATTGTTTTTGTTCTTTTAAACTTTGTACCTGTAATCGTAAATAGAATTTCTAAGACCACAGTCAAAAATAATGATACAATTGCCCCAGGTTTTCTAGAATTAAGACTTTTTGTTGAGCTATGAATCTAAAATTTTCAAAATTGGTCAACACTGGTCCGTTATTAAAAATCTACTATTACTAAATCTACTATTTAATTAGGATTATAAAATGCTAAAGTACTTGACAGTTTTATAATAAAATAATTCGAGTAAAAAATAAAAACTTAATATAAGTATCTACTTCAACGAAATCAACTCTAATATAAGTAGATACTTTGATAAAAAAATGTGTCCAACTTTGTCTTCTACAAGTTTATGTAACTTCAAGATATTTTTTTATTAATAAAACTACGCAAAATTAATGCAATGTAATGATTGTGCTGTATTGAATATGATTTAATAGGCACTTGAAATTTCAAGTATATTGTTTATGTTTAAGGCCAAAAATAAAATTCAATAAAAGAAAATTGACGTTATTGAAATGTGGCATTAGTAGGCATTATTATATCTTCGAATTTATTATGAATACTTGAAATTGATTGCATCATTTCCTAGACATACTGTATATAATAGCAACAGAGTTTTAGATACATTTAGGGGTTGTTTGTCGGTGCTCAGAATAAAATATTGGAGAATAGAAAAATGTAGTATTTTAAATGTGTTTTTCTTGAATAAGAAGTAAAAATAACTATAATGTTAAGAATAATTTCAATTTTCGTATGGTTTAACCTTTGTCAGGTTCAGTTGATCCTTTTTCCGCAACCCCATGTAAACTTTTATATAAGGTAATATAAAACTATTGAGTCTAACTTATAAATAACAATACATCTTATAAAGCAATTAAATGGTTTATACTTAGAAGTTACATTCAAGTATCATAAACTAAACAACAGTGCTTAAAATGCAAAAACTTCGGACCAAAAAATCTTTTGTTTTGAATATTGATACATGTCTATTTATCTTCTGTTAGTGACGACGCATGAATTTAGGTAATGGCTTGTTATACATCTTTTGCCCTCTACTTTAAAATATTATCGGTAAAAACTACATATATATTTTTGAGATAATAATTTCACCCGCAGACTTTTGAACCCCAATAAACCCGATATTGATATGTAGGTTCAAAATTATTTTGGAAATTAGTATAAATTGTTGATAAAAAAAATCTATTATCCTGTGTCAATTATCTTTTGTCCATCGCAATAACCGTGTGTGTTTCGCATGTGTGCGCGCGCTGTCGGTGCAGGCGGTACGGCACGAAGTGTTCCGGGTGCGAGTTGGGCATCCCGCCTACGCAGGTCGTCCGGAGGGCGCAGGAGCATGTCTATCACCTGCAGTGCTTCTGCTGCGCCATGTGCGCCAGACAACTCAACACCGGGGACGAATTCTATCTGATGGAAGACAGAAAACTTGTGTGCAAGCCGGACTACGAGGCCGCGAAGGCCAAAGGTGAGTGTGAGTGTCCCAAAATTTTAGTAGAAATAGTAATAAGAAGTAGTAGAAGGCGATTTATTGGATTAGCGCCCAACATGAGCAAAAGATCTAATTTGTAATTGCTGATACAATTGGGTAGCCCTATAGTAGTTTTTTTGTATTTGGAACCTTTTTCTAGATATTTCGAGTACAAGAAAAATCTAAAAATAAAATTAAATTCACCAACTTTGATGTAAACTCATATATTTGACAAAAAACTAGTATCTTACTTTATGGAGGGCAACTATATTTTCACGTATGTATCTACCTGTACTTGGAAGCAACACTAGACAAGTTAGGAGCCAATTCTCGGTTTAAATAGAAATGTTATGGCTATGCTATATTGCTGGTATATGATTGTATGAGCCAGACGTTTTACACACAAAATCTAACCTTCAAAACGCACAATTATGCCAACCGGTGTAAAAAATGAACAAAAGTTCTAATTTATCCTTGCTGATACACTTGGGCACCTCTATAGCAGTTTTTTGTATATGGAACTGTTACCTCTAGATAATTTTGAGTTCAAAGAAAATCAATAAATGAAATTAAATTCATCAACTTTGATTCATGCACACATTTCTGGTGAAAACAAATATTTTGCTTTAATGGAGGGCAACTAAATTTTTATTTATTTTCAAATTTCAATCTACCTTCTCTTGGAAGAAACACTAGACAAGTTAGGGACCGATTCTCGGATTAAATATAAATGTTATGGTAATGTATGGCTTGATAGCCAGACGTTTTGCACATTAAACCTAACCTCCAAAACGCACAATTGCCAACCGATGTAAAAAATGAACAAAAGATCTAATTTATAATTGCTGATACACTTGGGCACCTCTATAGCAGTTTTTTTTGTATTTGAAACTGTTTCCTCTAGATAATTTTGAGTTCATGAAAAATCAATAAAAAAAATTAAATTCACCAACTTTGATTCAGGCACACATTTTTGACGAAAATAAACATTTTGCTTAAATGGTGGGCAACTAAATTTTTATTTATTTTCAAAAATATATCCACCTGTACTTGGAAGCAACACTAGATAAGTTAGGGGCCGATTCTCGGATTAAATAGACATGTTATGGTAATTCTATATTGCTGGTATATGCTTGTATGAGTTGGTAGTCAGACGTTTCACACATAAAACGTAACCTCCAAAATTCACAAATGTCAAAAACAATAACTAAATTTTTAATGTCTCTCAGATAATACATACATGATGCCAGGTTTTATGTGTAAAATACCTAATTGCATAGCAAATACATTGCTTTTAAACTATTTGTGACTACCAACTCATACGAATATAAACCCGTAACCTAGCATCAGCATAACATTTATTTTTTATCCGAGAATTGGCTCCTGGCCTTATAGTCCAGTCATTTAAGCTTAAATTAGGTAAAAATTTCGGAATTCGAGATACCCAGATGTAAGTCTGTAAATACTTGTATTTTGTACCGTAAAAGTTGTCTCAAAACCTACATATGGTAGGGTGTACGCAACATATGTAGGTTTTGAGATAACTTTTAGGGTGCAAAATACAAGTATTTACAGACTTACAGCTGAGTATCTCGAATTCCAAGGTGAATTTACTATAATGACTGGAGTATTATTAATATTGTTCCCAAGAGAAAAAGGATAAGTTTTTGAAAATAAATGAAAATGCAGTTGCCATCTATTAAAGTAAAATATTTCTTTGCCAAAAATTAGTGTGTGTAAACATGGTACTAATTTAAAATTTATATTTTATCAAAAAATTTGTCCCTTAATGTCGTCTATCAGAGAAAGTTCATAGTTTACTTGGAGAGTTCATATGTTATCAGAAAGTTTGTGAGACAAAAACGATTGAAAAAGGAATTCCACTTTGATAACTTTGATAATTCGGGTTCATAAGGTTAATGGTACTATTAGTATCAATCAGATATATTTGTATTTGTAGAGAAAATTGATAAATATTAAATTCAAACTATAATCCATTACGTATTATTTATCTATTTTTCAATTATGTATATATTCATCTATTTTTCATATAGACTATAATAATTGATACTAATTGTTGTGTATTATTTATATTCAATTGTAGCATTTATTGTATTCATGTGGCATGACAGAAAAAGCTAACAAGAGCGACTCTAATTCGCTGCAAGTATCTTAAATCCAAAATCGTCAATATACAATATTTTAAAGTCATTATCGCCAAGATAAAAATAAATCTATTCACAAAATTAATTAGCATTTTTGGGAATCAGAATTTATTTAAAAATTGGGCAAAAATATTGAATTTTATTTATTGAATTTATTCCAACGATATATTTGAGCTTAATATTTAAAGCTCTATTCTTAACTTTTTTCAAATTGTCCTGTATCTTTTTCAATTCACGGATTTTAATTCCATTTCCTTCATCGCGGGGGCCTAAATCGTGTTCAACAAAGTATTCAACAATAGATCGCCTCTTTTTAGCTAATCACTGCAGTGCAGTGATGTTAACAATGGTTTCTCTCTGTACGTGGACGCAGGTCTGTACTTATTGGATGGCAGTTCTTTGGATGGGGATCAACCAAATAAGAGGCCCAGGACGACAATTACGGCCAAACAGTTAGAGACCCTGAAAAGCGCCTATAATAATAGCCCGAAACCAGCCAGACATGTAAGAGAGCAGCTTTCGCAGGACACGGGCCTGGACATGCGGGTGGTGCAAGTCTGGTTCCAAAATCGGTAAGAAAAATGATAATTGAAAATTAAATCTAATTTAAATCCTAAACTGCGATGGAAAGATACCTTAAACCTAATGCCTACTTAATACTCCAAGAAATTCAATAAATTTCAATAATATTGTATGGAGTTCTAATGTTGAAATAATGTTCGGTACACAATCAGAACCGAGTACAATAATCAAAGATCAAAATCCTTGAAAATTTTCTTAATCATAATAATAAATTTAGATTTCTTTGTTGTCGACGGCGGATTACAATAGTATTTTTAAAAATTATCTTATATAAAATCTCATCGTAAAAACAAGTCTAACAGGCAAATATTTCATTATATCTTCCATAGGAACTGCTTATTTGCTGATAATATATGACACATAACAAATTATAACCTCATCGATTTTGATTGCGTATTCCATTAAAATTTTGTAACAGAAAATATTGATATTCAAAATTCAATCATATTGATGACTGATAAAATCGATAAATTAAACGCGTAAAATTGAGTCTTATTGAAAGTCATGCCCTTTGTTAAAATTTAATTATTTCAATCAATAAAACTGGTTAGAAAAGACTGCAGTAAATAAAACTTTGATGCTGATTCTATCTTGAATAATTTTTATCTTTATAGATTAGATTTTATATGAATTCACCTTCAAAAACTGATCTATCACAATTATTTGGGAAAAACATATTTTTTATATTCACAAACACAATATATGTATATATATATATATATATATATATAATATATATATATATATATATATAATATATATATATATAATATATAATATATATATATATACATATATATACGAATAACTAGATAAAAACTAGATAAAAATAATGAATATACATTTATAAAAAAAGTGAGTTTTTAATAGTTTACTCAAATTCCTTTGAAAAACTATTTGTTTAGCTTCAGCAAAAATCTATTATAATAATTGTTTCTAGTATGAAGGTTTTTATTCTAGTATTTCCATAACTTTCATTTATACTTTTCTACATTTGACGCTGTTTTCTAAATTATATATATTTCTATCATTTTTTTACGCAGACCATGATTTTTTTAATTACTATTATCTCTTTTATTTACAACTGTCTAGTAAAGGACATTCAATAAATTTAATGAATTTACAATAGTCGGCCGAAAAGGGACATTGTATACTACAAGGGCATGTTGGAAAAAACAACTCAGTAGTTGTTTTTCCATTCGATATAAAATTCAAAATATTATTAATTATATAATTTTAACTATTTACTTATTGAATATGATGGTCACCTTAAATTTCTATATTGGCTCGATTCTCAATAACTCTTCAAACGTTCAACAAAATATACGTCACATGTTTTTCCAAAAATAATTTAGATACCTTTAATAATATTAAAAAATTCACCGCTTCAACGAAGGTAAAAGTATATGGCATCATCCGAAAATAATATGGTCATAGGCAAAGTCAAACGGAGGGCGTTAATAAAAGTGTATGTCAGGGCTGAAAGCTCCTTTTCGTCTATAAATTCGGTCTTAAGTGTCTGAAGACGCAGACGAAATGTTATGAAATGGCCCATAAGCCGGAGTTTAGAATTGAAACGATCGGCCGTGTAAGTATACGAGTTAAATATAGAATGAGAGCTGGGCAACGTAATGCAATCATTTTATAGAATATCTAAAAAAAATTCGATAATATAATAGAAACTTTTGCCAAAAATGATGAATTTAAAAAGTGACTATTTCTAATAGTATATTTGAGAGTTATAGTAAAATATAATATATTATTTGGACTAATATTAGTCCACTTGGCTAAGAGGATTTCCATACCCTACTACTATTCCCTTACTCCCTCCCAACTCGAGTCCGTTCATGTTCAACAATAAAAGGTCTTTGGAATTCAGACCGCCCGACCAATAAACCCCACGTATGTAATTTTTCCGGAATAATAGTTCTTGCCAGGCCCTGTTTCGAAATGTTCTTACGATGCCTTTCACCCGCCATTTCATCGCCTCTTCTACGCGTAGCGCGTAGCACCCCTCTACGTTACGTAAAAGCTCGGCATGAGCTTTACTTAATATGGCGCCCGAGAAATGGAATCAAACTGAGCTTTCATTTTCTGAATAATGTAGTTTCAAATCAATATCGAGTTTTTAACAGAAAATGTTGATATTTACGAATTTCAAAATTATTTTACATTTTTAGTAATAATTTTATGTCTCAAATATAAATTTCAATTCATATTATTTTTGTTCAAAAGAGTTTTTTACTCAATGAATCAAAGTTATACATTTTGAAATATTTTTTTTTTGAATTGTCCAAAAACATTTGATTTTTTGATATATGGGAAATGTAATATTTTGCTTTTAAACCGTGATTTATATATTTTTGTGGCCTTTAAATCGGGATTCATATATTTTCGATTGATCACGGTAAGCAAATCAAATGTAAATCATAAATTAATTTATGTTTCCAGATACTGTCATTTTCTGTCGTTAGTAGAGCCTTAGATTTGTAAATATTTTGTAGAGCTTCAAACAAAGAATCCAAAAAGTAAAGAAAAAACAAAAGTTTTTTTAAAAAACCATTTATTTATTTATTCATTGTCGACGTTTCGGAACTAGGTACGTTCCTTCTTCAGGACAAGAAACATGAAACATGATCATGTCAAGAAACATGATCTTGATAAGATTTAGGCAAACAATATATTTAAGAAAAGTAGAAAAAGTTTGATTTTTTATATAAAATGAATAAAACTGTGGAAGAAATAATATTTCTGAAGTATGACAATATAATCAAAATGAAAGTAATGAAAATAAATGAATGGAATTATATAACAAAATATAAGAAATGGTAGAAAATTTGAGAGTTTTTTTTCAAAACAGGGTTAAAAAAGGGAATTACCTGTGTGATTGATTATACACTTTTGTTTGCTAAAAACGATTTTATTGAAAAGTGTGATTTTTTATTACTTTTTGGATTCTTTGTTCGAATCTCTACAATATATATATATATATATATATATATATATATATATATATTAGGGTGGTCCTTAAAATGGTCATTTTCGAATTTCCTTGCTCCCAGGGGTTCCAAATTGATAAAAAACAATTCTCTGAAAGTTTTAGCTCTTAATATTAACGTTTAGATATAGCGCAATTCAATCAAACTTCGTATGGAAAGAGCATGGAAAATTTTTTGAAAATTTAAAAAAAATGTTTTAGGTATAACTTAGCGACAAATGAATGAGTTTTATTCATTCATTTGTTCGCTAAATTACATCTAAAAAACATTTTTAAAATATTTGAAAATTTTCCTATGCTATTTCCATACAAAACTTTGATTGAATTGTGCTCTATCTGAACGTTAACATTAAGAGCTAAAACTTTCAGAGAATTGTTTTTTTATTTGAGCCATTTGAGCCCCTGGGAGCAAGGAAATTCGAAAATGACCATTTTAAGGACCACCTTAATATATATATATAATATATATATATATATATATATATATATATATAATCAAAAATATTAAATTCAATGACAAGTTCACAATGAAAATGTATATGCATAAAAGCGTTATCACAACATTTTCAAGTTCATATTGCCAAAAATAGATCATCGACCGTTGGAAAAAAATATATTACTTTTCATAACTACTTATTTATACAAAATAGTAAATAATTCTAATGCATTAAATTCAATAAATATTTTCATTCCCCAAATAAGAAATATCTTTCTATTATCTTCGAGACATTAGACCCGAGCTTATATATTTTAATACTTTGGAGAATCGTTTTCTTTTCGGCAATATCAATTTTCCGCCGAATTACCTCTGTAGCGAATTCTACAAGGTGAAATACACATGGTAACAAGGCATTCAAAACCGTGAAACATGCTGATAGCAAAGTATTGTGAATATATTCTCGTCTCTAGTCTCTATATATGTATAGGATGGATGATGAGTTTGTAAGTCTTCGCCTTACGCCATTTTGCATGGCAGTATTCTTTCAATCTACTTTTATAGTCGCTCTTTGCAGTCGTGAAAGGAGGGTGAAATGTTTGACGATGTCGTTATGGAGGGTGACTTTATGCGGGGGATGGCATAGACGTTCGTTCGACGCTCTATTTCAAACAGCCAGGGACGGAGGATAGATGAAAATTGATTTTAGAATAATATAATTTATAAAAAATATTTAGAATTTTTTTATCCTAAATGTTTTATTATTATTTTGGACCACAGGCGTGCCAAAGAAAAGCGACTAAAGAAGGATGCAGGACGAACGCGCTGGTCTCAATATTTCCGATCAATGAAAGGCGGTAGCAGTGCTGGTGGTGGTTCTCCAAGACACGACAAATTACTTGACAAAGATGAATTAAAAGTGGACTTGGACAGTTTTAGTCAACACGATCTTAGCAACGACAGTTATGGTACTGTCACTTTAGGAATGGAAGATGGTGCTTCGCCCCATAGTGGTAGGGCTTCGGGTTATTTGCACGGACCAGGCCATACACCACCTTATTTGGGAGCACATTCGCCGTCATCGCAATTGGCTTCTGGTGGCCTTCCTTACCCCAGTTATCATGATCAAATAGTCTACACATCACTAGGTAATTATAAAAAAATATTGTTATATCCGTATTTTCCAGAACAGTTTCTTGCTCATATTCCTTATATTATTTATTTAAAATTATCTATTACTTGTTGGTATTGATATTTTGCATTGAGGCAAGTTATATGAACTTTACGAAATGTGTAAATAATCGACATAATAAATAAAAAATAAATTAATTTGTGAGTGATTAAAAGTATTTCGAGTGGATTTATTACACATCATTGAAAACGAACGAACACGTTAACTCGGAGTATTTTCTAAAAGCAAATTTTCAAAATCAATAATTTTTATAATTGAATCAGATTCCGTAGGATTTTAATGGTTTAGTATGCTCAATAAGCCCAAGTACTCTATCGTTATACCAAGTAAATAGTCTAATTTAAATTTTAACAAACGTCAAAAAAACTACTCATTTTTTCAAACTTTGATGAATTTTTAAAATTACTACTTGGCGTAAGGCCGTAATATTTCAGTAAGTTCTATAAGATAATATATATCGCCCAACAAGTTCTGCAAAATTCGGCTTAATTTATTTTTTCAACAGTTAATTACAAGAAAATGGCTCGGTAGATTTTATCCTAAAACTAATCAGTATCATTGCCAACTAATATCTTTCGAACAGTTTTTATTTTTTTCAAATCGGTTCGGTAGTATGAGCTTAAATGTGGTCGAAAGGTTTAACACTTTTTTCAAATTGTAAAGAAACGGCTTGGCGGATTGTCGCATAAAACTGAGAAACGATAATCCTCATCGAGATGCATCAAGTGGTTTTTAAATTTCTGAAATCGGTTCAGGTGTTCTTGAGCAAACGTCGATTAAAAGGTCTAATTTTGACAAATGCCAAAAAACCATACCAATTTTTGCAAACTTTAAAGAATTTTTAAAATTAAACGACTTGTCGTAGGGCCGTAATATTTTAGTATGGTTTATAAGACTATCGTTAAATCATAAAAATCGTCGAAAAAAATTTTTTTTTAACACTTTATTACAAGAAAACGGCCCGGCCGATCTTTACCAAAAACTAATCAGGACGATTCCCAACCAATATCTTTCGAACGGTTTTGAATTTTGAAAATCGATTCAAAACTGCGGGCTAAAACGTAGACGAAAAATTTTTCACTTTTCTGATGTTCACAAAGAAATGGCTTGGCTGATCGTCGCGCAAAATTAATAAACCCTAGTACTCATCGAGATACATCAAACGGCTTTTGAATTTTTGAATTCGGCCCGGTCGTTTTTGAGAAAACGTCGATTTACGGCAAAAAAATCTATTCACACACACACATGCTTTTTCTAAATTTGGTCTCATTCGATTTAGAATGGCTTGAAACGTCGAGAAAACATAAAACTAGCAAATCGAATTTTTTGATGAAAACATAAACTTCTCCTTCGGGAAATTAAAAAAATATTGTTATATCAGTGTTCTTCAAAAAAAAATTCTTGTCCATATTCCTTTTATCAGTTTTGAAAACTTTTGTTCAAAACATAATTCAAATGACTAACTGTTATTATTAAAGCAGGTTCAAATATGGGTCCAGGTGGAATGTTGCACACAGGGCGAGGCCAAATAAGTCAAGCTGGGGCAATTACATCTGACCTAAGCAACGACTCTAGTACACCGAATGGGTACCCTGATTTTCCGCCGAGCCCGGATTCTTGGCTTGGTGAGGGCGCGGTGACCCATTATTGACCCTTTAATGCAAGTTATAAATCCTTAGCGCAACGAAGACAATAAACGAGTGACCAAGAATTAGAATTCTCCCAAAAGGATAAAAGATTCATTAGAAAAATGATATGGTTGAAACAAATTCATTGCATTTCATTTTTGATATATTTATATCAAATTTTGAATGAATCAAAAAAGAAGTAAAGTGAGGATTCTATCAATTTTCGCCTGATTATTTCCAGTTTATCAGGTAGCTCGTTCTGCCATCTCAACGTACGCGCAAACATTCCTACCTTAGCAAAGACTCACCTGAGCATAATGTGCTATAAGTGCTTTATCAGAATTGTGTGTGAAAATATGCTGATACAATTATGTAAATACTATCTAATTAATTATTTTAGCATATACAATGTTTTGTTAAATAAAAACCAACACAATTAAAAAAAAATCGATGTAATTAGTTCTTGAAATATCCTAAATGGCCAGACAGAAATCTGATAATATATGAATACTAGGGAACAGTTAATTTATATTTGCCTGCTATAAATTTTAAATTTTAAAATTGATTTTATATATGGGCTGGTACTCATATTATAATGGAAATATATGTTTTTAATTTAAAATTAGCTTAAAATTTAATTATATTATATTTTTAGCTCTGTCTGATGGTTATTTCAAATAATAACTGGTTTCAAATTTATCATATTCACCAGATTCTGTTACTAATTACGAGGATTGTATATAATAAAATTGTTTCAATTTGTTGTTCTACAGATAAAAAAATCATTTACTACTATAATACACATACTCATGTCGATACAATTTAATTATAAATAAAAATTGAAGTGTTTTAATTGCTAAACTATTTGTGAAGTGTAAATGTCAACTGTACTTGATAGTTCTATGAAATAGTTAAATAATATTAATGATGAACATTTGTGCAAATTTAAAATATCAAAGAAAATTTTATAGAATTGTATGTTATAAATCCAGGTACATATTTAAAAATCTAGTCGTCTAAATAAAGATTTATCAAACTAGACGTTGTTTTAATAAAGAGTAATTTAATTATAATTTAACTATATTATACCATATTAGAACTAATTATCATAACTGGTCAAAGTTTGTATATAAATAATAAGAGAGAAGTAATTTTGCTTGTAATATAAAATTTCTCAACTTGATTTTGCTTATAGAATTTTGTATACTATTAGGGTCAATTTGTTTTATGAACAATAAAATAAAGAAAAAATTATGTGCTTTGATAATATGAACTAATCGCTTATATTATCATCATAAATTAAATAATTTATTGTAATAAATACCTTTTAATTTTGTGTTGATTAAGCCAGCTTAAATATGTCACACTATTATAATCACTAACACTTTTAAGACTAATTGCATTTTATCAAAGAGAATTCCGTACATAATATGATAATCCATATTTTTACTAATTAAATTAATTAATTAGTTCTAACACATTATAAACAAATTTACAATTTTTATCGATAAATTAATGATTTATAATACAAATCACATACAATTTCGACTTACACACGACGTCTTTGAAAACTATTTGCGAACTGAAAGATTTCACAAAATATCAACTGTATTTATACTATTTATTCTGACAAACCTGTTTTTAATTGTGATAATACGATTGGCTAGGAATATTATAAAATAATATAATTTTGGTAGTGCAATGTTTTTGATTGAATAACGGCTTTCAGATAAGATTCAATACAAAACACCTATCCTTAGTAGGGGTTGCAAACCTTAGTATTTTGATAAAATATTTGTGAATTCTCTTAAACCAGCACTTAAGACTATTTTATCAAAAGAATTTAAAAATTTTAATTGAATTTTGCGATAGTTGCTTAGAGTATTATAAAACTAAATAAAAATATAAAATTAACAGTAAGCATAAATTTATATTAAAAATAAATTACATATTTTTGTATAGCTAAAAATATAATTAGTATAAACTTAAACAAAAATCTTCTAAAGATATAAGTCTCAATCAAATAGTATATATTTTTCAAATATAAATTAAAGTTGCATAAATATAAAACTATATCTAAAATCACGATACTCTTTTCACATACACAGTCATACAAATAGCAAATTATATCGAAGACTTATAGTATAAACTTATTGTTAACCAATTGTAAAATTTAAGTAAGTATAGTACATATATTATAAAATCACTTTCATAAAATAAGTTTGATGAATTTTATTAAAAATTATGTTTTAAATGCTCTCAACTATTTAATTATAAAAGGCGTGCCTTTGTTCATATTTACAATTCTGTAGTTGCTACTCCCCAATATTGCTGCATCCTGTTGTCACCTTCAGGATCCCATTGTGGTTTTTCCTGCATGACATTGAAATCATATTCCAAATTATAAGGCATAAGCCTTTGGAGACTTCCAAAATATGCAGCATTCGGCCCTCCATTTAAACCTGGCCTGCCTGAACCAAATCGAACTGCAGGTTTTAATGAAGCAGCTGCAAAATTCCTGGCACTCCCAAAATGTCTAGATAAAAATGTATTATTTAATGGAGTTGGTGTAACACCTGCTAAATGTGGACTGCTGGATGAAAGACTTCTTTGACTTCTCAAGGTAGATGGAGCAGTTCTTCTAGGCACGCCTCTTGTCAAGGTATTGAGTTCTTTGTCAAATAATAATTGTGTATTTTGTTCGAGCATATACTCCCAACATTTGAACTGCTCTTCAGATAAACCTGAATCTGTCTCTTCGCGTTCTTCGTCAATTTTGGACCGGATAGATCTTGCGACTTTTAAACCACTATTTGCTCGTGATGTTGCACTTTCAGTTGGTGCTTGGTCACTTTGGCCACTCGGAGAGGACCTATCGCTATTTCGTGGTGACATTCTAGTACTTACCGAATGGCAACAATTATTTTGCAATTCGCAACAACAACCACAACCACAAACTTCCGAAGGAGCAACTGGACTTGCTTTGCTACGAATTGTACTTCGTAACTCCCTCATCAACTGTTCCACATCACTAGGATGATCATTGAATTTTATTACGATGATACTTATATTACTTTCAGCACCATAACTTTGTGCCATATCTTGCAGACGTTTTGCAGCTAATATCACGTTTTCTTGGGCTCGCACTTCTTCAGCTGCAGCTTCTGGGCTCAAAACTTCCCACAAATGCTTATTGGCGATGATAACAAATTCATCTTGGTCGGTTAGAGTCAATTCAGCTACTTCAGGATCAGGAGTGATCAATGGAAAAGAAGCACTGTTACCAATTCTTCTACATGGAGTGGGCGGTGTTAAACGCAATACACCATTTGGTCGCCCAACAACTGCGGTTGCTTCACCAACACTGGCTAAACGCAATATGTACCTTCGTGTCGAAGGTAAAAATTCATTATCAGCTCGTTTAGTTCTAGAAATATGACACAAAGTTACGTCTACTCCTGCACGCTGTCCACGCTGTTTCAACTCACGATGTGCTGATAATAAAGTATATTTCATATACTCTGTACAAGTTTCTTTAACAGTTAGTTCTTCTAATAAAAGTCTTGGTATGGTTTTGAGAAGTATATCAGGTAGTTCACCACTAGACTCTCCATCAAATAATCCAAATAACCCTTCCGTATTACAAAACGCAGGTAATCTTAACTGCGATATACACAATTTATTTCTATCTCCTGCAGTTTCTGAAAATCCTACTCTCCATGGCGGGTCCAAATGACCATCACCTCCTTCTCTGTAGGGCCATGGGGTTGATGGTAAGGCAGCCCTATTTCTGCCACTGACATCAACCAAACTCATTGGTCTTTGGGATCTGCACGCCTGAAATTGTCTTGGATCGACATGCAATTGAGAATTACATGATAAATCTAAGAATTGTAGTTGCGGTGGAACTAAAGACTCCAAATTTATCCTATCTAGTTGGTTGTGTGCTAGATCCAGCACACGAAGACATTTTGATTCAGAAAATCCAGGAGCAGATTGCAAACGATTGGAATGGACTCTAAGTACTGATAAATGTTCCAAAGCTGCCAAATTGTCAGGTAAATGTTGTAATCTATTACCGGACAAAACTAACTCTTCCAGTTCATTCAAAGCAGCAATGCAGCTTTCCGGTAAAGTTGCTAAACTATTATAAGCTGCATGCCATATTTTTATATTCGAAAATGACGATACAGTATCCGTAATCGACTCTGTCAAACAATTAGCTGTTAAATACAACCGTTCCAATACATAAGTTACATCTTCCGTAGGTGGCAATTGAGTCAATCTGTTATTAGACAAATTCAAAACCCTCAATTGCGTGCATGATGAAAAAAAATTATCCGGCAACGATGTGATACGATTACACTGTAAAAATATTTCTTGTAGTGCAAGTCTTCTTCTGGGCAAAGAAGGTAATTTTTGGATCTCGTTATAACCCAATTGTAAAGTATGCAATGAGCTCAACTCGCTGCAAAATAAATGTTCAGGTAATGATTGAATTTTATTGTGACTTGCAAATAAAACTTGCAGATCATGGCAACTGCAAACCCACGTGGGAAGCTCTGTTAGGGCGTTGTAGGATACATCAAAATGTTGGAGATTTGATGGCGGTGGTGAAATAATCAGCTTCTTTAATTCTAAAAATAAAAATAAGGGTTAGTGTTTTTATATATATATATATCTTATACAGTCATCATATTTATACTATCTCTTATTATATCCTAATCTTCCATTCAATTTTCTTTCTTCAATTCCATTCAAATGCTACAAATGATCACTAGAGATCATTTTTAAGGTTTTTTTTTATAAAGAAAATCATTTTATCTTTACCATTATTTCCAGCAATTAAAGATGTCAAAGCCCTGCCATTTAAAGTTAGTTCTGATAATTTATTCCTAGAGCATTGAAGAACTTGCAAGTTATCCAAGGCACTCAAATCTAAGCATTCTATGCAATTTTCGCTCAGATCTAGTTGTGCCAAATTCTGTAAAATAAATTGAGATATTTATATACATAAATATATATATATATATATATATATATATATATATTATAGAATTTTATGATATGAGTGGAACGAATATTAAATGTTAAATATAAACAACACTACACTCAGATTTTTACACAAACTTTATTTAATAATTACAGACGTTTCGAGTCCATATTATGCCTCATCTTCAGTGTAATTTCAAAACAATAAAAATTATATACTAATACATTATTTAATATTTTATTTAAATTACATTTAATTTTTGAAAACAAAAAACCATCAACTATCTCTTACAATGCTTGAAACAGTATTTTGAGCTTTGTGTTGTTCATATTTAACAATTAATATATATATATATATATATATATATATATATATAACATATATATATATATATATATATATATTTGACAAAAAAGTCCATTGTTTTATTTTGATATTTTCAAATTGAATAAAATGTATTTAAAAAAATGCGTAGTCCATGGTTTTTTCTTCATATTTTCAAATTAAGTAAAATTTCATATTACAAAAAGCGTGAATATATATATATATATATATATATATATATATATATATGATATTTTTGTCGACGTTGATACATATTTAGAATATTTTTGCAGCCCAAACGTCGAATTAAAAAAAAGAATTAAATAAAAAAAATATTTATTCCATTAAACGTTTCGACACTTGGTGTGTGTCATCATTCAGTAATCAAACCAGGAAAAACAACAGAAAAAATTCATTAATGATGCCAAACTTAATAAATATTCATAAATAACGAGAAATTAAAGGAGCACATATTGCCCTCCTATATTTTATGTTTTTAATTCATATATATATATATATATATATATATATATACAAATTTCTATCCTTAGATTTATATTACTCACCCCATAGTTTCCTAAAATAATATTGCCTTTTAATTGATTTGCCCTTAAGCTCACTTTGGACAATGGCTGATTCAAATCATTTTTATCGCTTTCTTCCAAATGATCCTTTATATTAGCATTATTTGTTGCAGCTTGGAAATCCTGAAATGTATATAAAAATATTTTTATCTAAATATCTGATGTATTGAAAAAAATAATTGAAATATTTTTATTTCTCACCATATATCCGAGAGCCCTCATCCTGATTAAAAAAGTAGGAAAAAATTTGACTTGATTTTCGGCCACCAGCAAGGTTGTCAATGAGGAAAGTGAACATAAAGAATCGGGTAGATCACGTAAAACATTTCTTTCAACTCGTAATTCTGCTAGGCTAAATAAAATATAAAAATAATAAATAAAATAATAAAGTTTCTTCAGTTTGTAGTCCACTTAAACTGACATAAAAAATATATCAAAACTTATGGAGCTAATATTCTCATATAATGTCAAACTTTCCACCAATCATAACTAAAACGTCAAAAATGTTGTTCAGTATCAAAATTCTCCTAATAAATATCTATCTCTTATTACTTGCATCAACCGATGACCATCTCAAGGTCCACTATTGCACAAAACTAATAATTTATATCATTGCAACAAACACTCGATTGTTTTCAATAATTTTCTACTTTGTATAATTTTTTATTAAGAAACCTTTTGTTATTTATTGTCATTTTTATTATCGAAACAATAATTTATGCGTTACGCAAGCACGAGCGTTTGTGATTTTTCGCTAAAAATAATCTTTTGCCGTTGACGATGGAAGATGGGTTTCGGATCGCTGACCACAAAATATACACTATCTCATTGTATTGAAATTAAAACAGGAAGCTAAATATTTTGCATATAAACACCTACTAACAAAAGTATCCGCAAAACCACTGCTTGAAATTAGAATAGAAACCTAATATAATGCCTTTCCAACAGTAGTAATTATAATATAAACTTGGAGGCTTGATTCTACACCAGATGCTGTAAACATAGATTAGTACTAAAATAGATTATTTTAAATTAACTAAATAAAATTGTAGAAAGAGATGCCCTAATATAGAATGAAATCATTATTTTATCAACAAAAAATCTTAGAAGCATTATTAATCGTCACTTCCCTGTAAAGATTTTCTGCGTGATAAGATTAATTTGTTTCATATGAAAATTGTAGATATTGGTAATACTAAAAGAAATAATAATAGTTAGTATCTGAAATGATATTGAAACATTTTGAAATTGGTTTAATTTCAATTTGTAGACTTTTATTTAATTAGCAATTATTTTTTTATTTAATTAGCAATTAAGATACAATTGTATTTTTTAAGTTATTATTACATTAAGGAGGGCAAAGAAAAAAAAAGTTACAATAGTCAAAAAAATAACAATTCTGAGTTCACTCCATTGAGAAACGTCTAGTGTTTCATTTGAGGTGTATCAAAATTTTTTTGATCTCGAAGAAATTCTGAAAAATTCTGAAAAATTCAAAGAAATTCAGACTTAAGTGTTTATAATTATGAACCATTTTTAATATTCTGACAAAGGGCAGTAAATAGATGCAGTTTAATTTGATTAATACATAAAAATGAATAAATTTATGAAATTAATTTGTGTAATAAATAGCTTCAAAAAAGGCAGGAAAAGAGCTTCCATAGCGTAAATAATTCATGATTTTATACTAAAAGTAGTTTTCCAACTTTGAAATTCCCATGTATTAGGACAAGTATGATAATCTTATAATCTTGTTAGCGGTTATCGGAAATTATACATAATGATCTTATATAGGACGATAATCATGTTTGACGTGATCAATATCATATTAAAATTGCAAAAACTTCAGCAAATTAAAAATAGTTCATAATTATAAACACTTAAGTCAGAATTTCTTTGAGTTTTTCAGAATTTTACAGAATTTCTTCGAGATCAATTAAATGAAACAGTAGACTTTTTTTAATGGAGTGAACTCTAAATTATTATTTTTACGACTTTTGTAACTTTTTTTTCTTTGTCTTTGTTAATGTAACAATAACTTAAGAGATTCCATTGTATCTCGATTGCTAATTTAATAAAAATCTAGTCTAAAAATTGAAATTAATCATCTAAGTTAAATATGACAGTAACATCTCCAAAATGGACCACTAAATTTCTATAATTTACTAAGTTATATATTTTTTAAATTTTTGTGTAATTGTTATAAATCGATAAATTTATTTTTAACACTAAATTTGAGCCAAATCCACTTGTTCTAGACAAAGGAAAAATTACATTGTTCATCTTACTAATCATATTAGAATGGGTATATTAGGGCAAAACCATAATAGAATGGGTATATAATTTTCTAAAAATTCATACAAGCAAATGTAGAATTAACTTAATTTAACTAAGTTAAATTTCCATTGTTAATTACAGAATTTTTTGGGTAAAAAATTAAGAAGTAGTTCAAACAAGCACAAAATATATAAAATATGTTGAAAAACTTAATATTAGGATTGCTTTATTAATAGGTAATGTTGGTGATACTCTTTGAAGGTGTGTGATATTATATATATATATATATATATATATATATATATGTATTTGACTTATTCTCAAAACTTGCCTCAATTCAAAGTTAATCCATAAATTTATAACTTATGCAACACTGTTCACAGACAATTTTTTTATCACCCAAATGACAAATGATATTCTACAAGAAGAAGAACAACCATACTGTTCGATGTGTATAAGAAATCTAGTGAAGAGACTCAAATCAAACCACTGGAACATTAGTGATGATAAAACGAAGTTCAAGCCTCCGAAGTGAAAGACTTGCCATCGTAACGATATGTTTGTAAAACTGTTCTACTGGAACTATTTTTTACACAAATCGTAATATAAATAAACAAAAAACACGTACTTTTTTTTAATTATACAGTGAAGAAAACAAAGTAGATTTCGAATATTCTTTATAAAAAAACAAAGGAAAATAATATGCAAAAAATATTGAGTTTTGTGATATTCAAACCATGAGATAAAAATTCATAAGTAAAGAACTTGAAATATAAATATTTTTTGGGTAAATTATTTTCAGTTTTGATGTTAATTTTTTTCATCACATTATAAAGTAAAGCTTAATTTTTTTCCTCCAGTTTTTTTTTTCAATTTCTATATATTTTGTTCTACGTTAAGTGTAGAGTATATAGGATGCTCATATCTTCAGGATCTATGCAATTAAATTTATTTTTCTCATTCTTATATCGACGTATTTTTAAATGTTATTTCAAAAGTTAGAAATATGTGTATAAAAAAGCTTAATTTTTGGCATGTATAATGTATGTATAATTTGATTTTTAATAAGTGTTTAATTTGGAAAATTGGAATAGTTTTATAGTTCCTGAAGAATGGGATATCCCATGTTCCGAAAACGTAAGATGATTTATATGAAAAAAATAAATAAATAATATTTTTAGAAAAATTTAAGCTTTTTGTTCATATAATTAAAATCGAATATATTTTATGAGTATTTGTTTATTGTTAAATTTATTATTAAATTTATCTATTAAATCTATTAAAAAAACTCTGTGATGGGATTGTTTTTAGAGGAAAAAAGAATTTGGATTTGTTAAATTTTTCAACATAATTTCAGATATCATTTTTAGATTAAAATTAATAATTGAATGATAAAGTTGAATTTTTCATGGAAATCTCAATTATGTCAAATTCTTTTTTTTCTTAACTTTCTACGTAAAGTGTTCTACAAATATGTGTATGAAGAAAGATTTATTTTTAAATTTTTCATATATTTAGTTCTACGTTTAGAGTAAATAAGATGTCTCCTTCTTTAGGAACTATGAAAATAAATTTATTTTTTCATTTATATCTTGATGTATTTTCAAATATCATTTTAAAAGTATTATTAATTTGATTTTTAATAAGTATCTATTTGGAAAAAAATAGTTTCACAGTTTCTGAAGAATGGGATATTCCATGTCCCCGAAATGTATAAAAATATAAAAATATATAAAAATTCAAATAAACAATATTTTGAGAAAAATTAAAATTTTATGTTCATAAAATTAAAGTTAATGATTAATTTATGTTGTTTTTTTTCAAAATTATTAAATTATTTTAAATATTTAAATATTGTACAAAAAAAAATATTATTATATAAAGTGCTAGAAAAAATGTATTTTTAGTGGAGTCATTTTTCACAGAGCAACAAGAAATCTACCTTTGGATTTACCATGAATAATTTTTAATTTGAAATTTTATTTAAAAAAATTATAACAAAGTCATATTTTTATGGTAATCTTAGTTATTATTTTTAAATTAAAATTAGCATTTAAAAAAATATTTAATAAAGTAAAATTTCTCATAAAAATCTCAATTATATCAAATATTGTATTTCAAAAAATGTCTCGAAAACTCCTAGACTTTCTACGCAAACGGTCCCAGAAATATGCGATTTTTATCATTTTTTCTCCCAATGTTTTTTATATCGATTAAGAACAGCACTAGTGGTGTTGCAATCGATGTTTTACAATATAACCTTCCTTACACTTTTTATTGTAATCGGTTTCGGTACAGCGCACCTGCTTTATAAAAGACCATATAGTGAAAACAGCGGAAATGTGCCCAAAGCCCATGCCCGGAGTCTATGGCCCAAAATAATAAAAGAGCTGGAAAAATTTTCAAAAAAAGCTAACAAAATCTGCCTAACTTGGATAATTTTATCTACAGTATTTAAAATTTATTAGATTATTACCAGAATCCCTAAAAAACTCATAACTCGGGGCATATTTTTAGTATTTCCATAATTGCTGATCTAAAACTCTCATTATAATTTCTGGAATCTTATATTCATTTTCATCTTTATTTGAAAACATGTAATAGTCAATAGATATTTAGAATATCTGTATATGGCTCTGTATGAAATAAAATAAATTTTTGAAGTCAATAATATTTTTATTATCCAAAGGATATTCATTAGCCCCTTTACTAGTGAATACATGAAAAGTTCTCTCTGAAGAAGTCTACGGCGTCAATCATTGGAAATGATTTCAAGAAAGAGATTCGAATGAAGAATCGAAAGTTTTTACGATGTTTTGTTTCATAGAAGTTCATAAAATGATATCTTACCACCACAACAAGTAGCTTTGGTTTTATCAGAGTTCCGCATTAGTACATTTCTTAATCATTTTTAATTTAATTAGCAACTTCTTGTAGTATAAATTTGATGCTAGATAATTGTTTTAGAACATATTTTGGTAGTGCAAGACTTTATGTTTTAAAAAAAATCTGATATGCTAATTTTATGTTTTCTCGACGCTTCAGGTCATTCTATATCGTTTAACACCAAATTTCAAAAATGTACTCGTAAGTGTGCTTATATGTAATTTAATCTATGAGTGTGTGGTATGTATGTGAGCCAAAATTTGACTTTTTCTCAACCACTAAATTTTAAACTATTTTATGACACTCGAAAAAAATTTTTGTTGATTTTTATAGAATTGACCGAACCGTTTTTATTATAATTTCCACTTAAGGTAAGATAAAATTATTCATTAGCGTTTTAGCCAAAATTCCTGAATCAATTTTACAAATTCAAACTTTGTTCAAAAGATTTAATTGGAATTCGTCATGATTAGTTCCTGGTAAATATCAGCTAGGTCGCTTGTTCGAAATATTTGTAAAAAAAATATCACATTATAATCAAATATTTCTTAAAAATTAAATTATAAACCAATGACATGTTCCAACTACGTGGTATATTGCTAAAATGGAAAAGAAATTTCACAAACTGTGAAAACTATTCTTATTATAACACGACCAATAAATAACACACGGAATGTGTTGTAAGTTAACATAATTGTTTGGAAAGCTTTTATGACTGCAATCAAAATTACTTGAGTAATGATAAAGAATTGGATAATACGATTATTTTTATACATTCCCTATCATTAAAGAAAAAATTTACAAAGAGTGGATACTGTTCGATAATTCAAACATAAATAAGAGGTTACACATCATCAAGATATTATTAATATTTCTTACCTTGTCATAAGACATATTTCTTGTGGCAAATTTTCGAGCTTGTTGTCAGACAAATCCAGTCGTGTGATTGTAGATAATTGCAATAAAGATCTAGGAAATTGTTCCAAATTATTTGAAGACAACGATAAAACCTAAAAAAAAATAATATAAATTTAATAAACAATAATTATTCTTAAAATATAATTTGTGATATGTTGCACATATCAAAACAGAATTTTAATTAATATAGGAATACAAAATTTAAAAAAATTATAAGCAATATTATTCACTGCTGATATGCATGATTTAGTTCATATTATGTTAAGAATAAATAGTGAAAAAATATAGCACTGGGATTTAACAGCTCTTGTCAATTAGCAGAATGTTGACCATTAGCAATTAATTTTGTAAAATAAAATTTACAGCTTGCAACTTGACTAGAATTTTCAAAAATGCTACACAATCAGAATCATGATACAAATCAATTATTATCACAAATTTAACTTTATTGATAACAATTATCAAAATTTTGATCAATTTCTATTATAAAGATATCATATAATATTTGATACGAAGAGACTAACTTACCTTAAGTTTACTAAGTCTAAAAAGTAAATCCAAATTTGCTCCTTGAAGCTCATTATTGCCCAAATCTAATTCTTCTACTCGTAAAGAACCATTCAAACAATGTTCAGACAACCCTCGTAAACCAGCACCCCTTAGGTCAATTTTTTCTGGATCACTTTCAAGAGTTGTTGCCTGAAAAAAAAATTAAAAAAGTGTTATTGAAATGAAATATTGAACTAGATTAAATAAATTTTGTTCGTACGTGCAATCAATTAAAAAGCAATCAGTAGAAAGATTACACTGCAATAAATGGAACACGTGATAATCAATCAATTTTTTGCAGAAGTAGAAAATTAACTTGCATATTAAATATTACATTTAACTGTTGAACCTCATAGTGTATAAATTTACAAAAACTCCAAAATCTTTCAACATTTCTTTATCACAAATTTCATAATGTAAAATTAATTATCATTTAATAAGTGTATAGGGCAATACGTTTATATCATTATTTAACTTAGGCTAAAAGCGCCCTAAATAAAAAATATGATAATTTTAAATTTTCTGTTTTTTTTTTTAATTCCTCGGTGTAATTATTTCACTACTTAATTAGAAATATTATCATGGAAAGTTTTTTGCATATAATGATACCTCGTCAACATCCTCTTGAACCGGTTCGAGAGAGTCCAGTTCTAAAGAATCTAACTGCACACTATCACTAAATGTCACTTTTGGAGCAGATTTTGATCTTGCTCCAGAGGAAATTGAGGTTTTACCCTTAGTTCGACAACTTGCCAGAACCATTTTTGAGGTTTTTCATTATTTCATTGTAATAGTCAATTGGTAATATACACTAATAAATTTTGTTCAAACTAGTTTTTGGAGTTTTTATCACAGAATTAATTAGTAGACCTAAATATATTTTTTTAAATCTAACACTACTAAACTTATTATTTTTTAATATTATATTATTTATAACTGAAAATAATATAACTCAAAAATCAATTTAATTTATGATTAATAATTCTAAAATTATATGATGTAATGAAAATAATATTTGACTATTATTTTCACTCAAAGTACAGTTATACATTTTTATAGTTATTTACACATTGTTTTTAATATTATTTAATCTGTTTATATATTCTAATTGAATTAATATAAATTCTAATTGAGAAAATTATTGATATAAATAAAAATATCGTAATATTCAACATTCTGAAAAAAATATTATCATTTTTAGCTAATTTCTGAATTTAATAAATTAAGAAATTAATTGTTTAATTTTCAATTATTTAGATATTATTCAATATTTAAAGATGTATATAACTATTATTGCAATTTAAAATATAAATGTATACAGTCGTTTTAAATATTATTTAAATTTTAATATATATGAATAAGCTTTCCATTGTAATTTTTTTGTGCCCTGAATTGGATTTCAATTGGAATTTTCATGCGTCTAATTGGAATTCTTTGAATTTCAATAGATATACTCTTAATTTCAATGCTTATTATTTAAATATGGGGTGCTCACTTTTAGTAACTGATTCATAAATTAGTTAATACTTTAAAAATTTATAATTAACTTCCCGTAGGGTAAGTTATAGTAATCGCAAAAAAATCGAAAATGAAAATTTTTATATATCTTTACGTTTCAGAGGTTTCTGAACATTTTGGCATACCTTAGAAAAAATGGATGTATGTGTGTGTGTGTGTGTGTGTGTATGTGTGTGTATGTGTGTGTGTATGTGTGTGTGTATGTATGTACGTGTGTGTATGTATGTGCGGATACAAATTTTCGTCAACGATTTCGGGAACACGGATCAACCGATTTGAATAATTCAAAAAACATTCGATTCGTATTGATAAGGAGACGTGCTGATTAGTTTTTGGCGAAGGCAGGTCTAGCCGTTCCGGAGATACGGGCAAAAAGTGCCGAAAACGGTAACTCAGTTTCTAAGAGAACGGAGCGTCCGATTTTAATAATTCAAAAAACATTTTACTTGTATTGACAAGATAAAGAATTGATCAAATTTTCATAAAGGCAGGTCTAGCGGTTTCGGAGATCTAAGGAAAAAAGTAAAAAAAAATGCCATTTGGCGGTCAAAAATGATCATTAGACATATGCACATCGAATTTTCAGATATTTTATAGAGATTTTAACAATAAGTATAAATTTTGTTTATTTTTCTATGGGTTCCGTATCAATGTTTACCCGCTAGACAGCGACGCCGCGCTTACGCGCTTTATATTTTGTATCTATGCAGTTAAAGCAGTACGATTGCTTTGAAAAACAAGTTCAGATTTTCCAAAATATGTCAAAATGAAGAAAACATTTTTTTTTTCAAAAAAAAATTTTTTTAAAAAAATTTTTTCTAAAAAAAAATTTTTAAAAAAAAATTTTTTTCAAAAAAAAGTAATTTTTTGTCCAATTTATAGTTTCTCAAAAATCTTATTTTTTCGAAGTAAATTTTTTTCAAAAATGTTAATCGTTTTTACAAAAAATAATAATTTTTGGTACGGGAAGTTCCAGCAATTTGCCTTAAGGCACGATGCCCTAATTGCCTTAAGACAGAATTCCACTTACAGCTAGTTTATATTCATATTCAAAAAAAATTTCAGGAAAAGAACTAAATTCAGATTTCCTATATATTTGTTAATTATAATTTTTCATAAATAAATGTATTAAAAAAAACAAACGAAATAAAATTGATGTAGAATTAACAAGTGGCTTCAAATATAGAAAGCCTTCTGCAAATTGTCATGGAGATTTTTTATTAATATAATAATGTTTACACCTAACTTAAAAAAAACTGAAACGAAATAAAATTGATGTAGAATTAACAAACGGCTTCAAATATAGAAAACCTTCTGAAAATTGCCATGGAGATTTTTTATCAATATAATAATTTTTACACCTAACTTAAAAGCAATGAAAAGAAATAAAATTGTAAAATTAAAAAATGGATTTAAATAAAGAAAACCTTCTGAAGAATGTCATGGACCTTGGGATTCACAAAAATAATGTAATGTTTTTTTTTAATTTATTGAATATAGAAATAAAGGAATAATAAAGAACTTTGTATAAAATTGTGTACTGTGTTATATTATGCGCTTTGTTTGTCACCAAATATTGAAGTTGAACCACTTTTGAAGTTGATTAATCGAATAGTTAAATTATTACACAATTTAGATAACACATTTTTTATGTAGCTGAATAATCACTTAAATTTAACTATATGCAAATTTAATTTATTAGTTACACACACACACATATTTAAATTTTTTTTAAGATTTTTATATCTTATTTTATTTATTATATATATATATATATATATATATATATATACAAATGTGTGTAGGTATTATACCAATAATCACAATTTTTATTATTACCATTCATCAACTTGTATAAAGCGCACTATAATTTAAATATTTATCTACCGTCCGACTAACACGGTTTCTTCGTAATGCATTCGAATTGAATGAATAATGATAACATGAAAATAAAATCCTTTGCAAGTTTTCGCACTCACTTCACGGCCTGCGATTTTCAAGAAAGACACATAGCTGCATTAGCATATATTATGGCGCTTAACTCCACTTATTCATTCAGTGAAAGTGAAGTAAAATTGATTAAAGCAGCCACTGAACATCGGATATTTAAGTTGCGAAACTTTTTTAGTTGAATTATTGCGCATTTGATGTAATAGAAAAGACGATTGTCTTTTGCGGCGTATTGGTTTATATTCAAATCTACCGAAGGAGACAACATTTAATTTTGTTTGGTGCCATGCATTTAACCTATTCTCTAGATTATTGAAATTTGGCAAAACGTCTTATACTTAAGGACCCCCCCTCTCCCTTGGTGATACCATCACAGGAATTTTTTAGTTACGTAAAATTTTTCGCATTTACGAATTTTTGATTTTTTTTTTTTTTCAAAAATTCAGGTAAAAAATACATGTGATATTTTACTAGACCCCTCCCTCCCCCACGTGATATTTCGTGATTTTTTGTCAAACTACCCCTGGTTTGGTTTTGACAGTATATTTACTACAAGACAAAAAATATTGATATACTTATAAGCTTATATAATTATTTCAATGCTGAATGGGATATTTTACTCGATGATGCATCTAATACAGACCAACAATCAGTCACGAAATATGTAACCGAATCGATTTTATTTCATTTTACGCATAAGATTCCAATGTGATTCCAATAAAAATGTGTAAGAGCAACAAATACGAAAAAATAATAAAAATATATGTTTACTACAAGAAGGTTACGCACACTCATATATGTATACATATATGCTTAGATAAACAAAGATGTGTCAATATAGGTCATTTATCCAAATTTTAGCATTTTTCGGGTTTACAAAAATATTTCACCATTACTAATGATTTATAGAATAATTCACGGTCTTCAAATTTCTCATATTTATGGTAATACATTGCACAAAATTGTCGTTTTGGCAATTGGCCTTGCCAAAACTAATTGAGGACTTAGGACAATTTAAGGTGGTGGGTACAATAGCTTTTTTGAACGATGTTGCACATATAAAAAAGCTTTAATTATGAGGGCTCTGATGATTGTAGTAATTACCATCCATTTCTACATGTGTTTCCAAGTGTTAAATCGAGGACATACTTGAAAGACTTTGTGACAAGTTGTTGAAGAACTTCGGGTCACCGAGCGAGACATAGTTTCGCAAACTAATAATAGATACAGATAAAATTTTCAGGATATTATTTAAAATCATGTAAAATATTAAACTGTACTAGATATCTTACCCTAAAGCAAACATACGCAATTATAGTAAAGAAAGGGTAAAAACAAAGTCAAACTATCGGAGCAGAGACGAAAGCCTATAGGCTTTTAGGCTTACATGTGGCCTAGTGAAATGTATATATTTTATTATTAAAAAGAAAAAGTTAGTATCAATTTATCCAAGTTCTGACTATAAAAAAACGAAAATCTCTTTTTCATAAATTATATATAGTTAAATAAATAACAACATTTTTTTTAATATTTTCTATGAACTGCTACTATAACCCTAATGAATATATACTCAAAATAATTTTAATTGTTAGGCTATAATAACAATAATGTAGGCATTTTAGTAACAGGTTTGCTGAATAATAGCTTTGGTAAAATAACTAAAGATTGTAATTACCATAAAT